TTATTCTTTTTAGTTGTAGATGGACACACTATCTTTATTTTATTTATTTATTTATTTTTATGTGGTGCTGCGGATCAAACCCAGTACCTCACACATGCCAGGCAAGGGCTCTACCACTGAGCTACAACCCTAGGCCTACAGTTATAATTTTTGACATAGTGTTTCCACATAATAGTAATTTATACTACAGATATACACATAGTTAGTTATTGAAGCATTGTTTGCTATTGTGAGACACTAGACACAAATGTCGCCAGTAGGAGACTGGCTAATTTAATTGTGTTTTTTTCCTTATAATAAAAAAAAAAAGCCAGGCATGGTGGCACATGTTGGATAAACATATAACGGCAGCAGCACCCCAGAGAAAAATCCCAGCATGGCGTCTAACGACCCTCTTTCTCCTCTTTGTTTCTTTCACTGGCGCGAAAGTTCCCGCTGGCACCAATGTTCAAACCCGGCTGGTGGGAAGCCTTAGCCCCAATTAGAATTCACTTCTTGGGCTCCAGAACTGACATATGGAAGAGCTTGCCAATAAACGGGCGACTTGTTATCTACCTCAGCCCTGCGACCTCTCCTCAGACCTATATAAACACACAGCCTTTTGTAATAAAGTGGAAACCTCTTTGGTAATCTGTGTCTTGTGGTGTGGTGTTTTCCAGTCTTACAGCACACGCCTGTAATCCCAGTGGATTGGGAGGCTGAGACAGGAGGATTGCTAATTCAAAGCCAGCCTCAGCAATGGCAAGGCGCTAAGCAATGCAGTGAGACCCTGCCTCTAAATAAAATACAAAAATAGGGCTGGGGATGTGGCTCAGTGGCAAGAAACCCTGAGTTCAATCCCTGGTACAAAAAATTAAAAATGTAGGAGTCTAACATCTTAGTGATAAAGAGAGGAAACAATATTTGTTTCAATATGAAAAATATAATATAAACAAGAAACTAATAATAGTGACAATTTATTTCAGAGTTGAGAGAGGAAACTAGATGACTAGGGAAACTGAACAGCAATGGATAATTTTTTTTTACATCTTTATTTTTAAGCTATTTTTACCTATTTAAAAATTTTTACCCATTTAAAAAAATTAAGTGACGGGCAGGGGCTGTAACTCAGTGACAAAGCACTTGCCTAGCATGTGTGAGGCACTGGATTTGATCCTCATCATCACATAAAAATTAACAAATAAATAAAGGCATTCTGTCCCTGTACAACTAAAAAAAAATTAAGTGAAAAAGAAAGAATACAGAGAAAGAAAAAATAAAGATGGTAAAAAGATTTTTCATCCACTCACCAACCTTTACCATTTTGTCACATTTGCTTTATTATTCCTTCTCTTAATGGGTACACATTTTTTTCTTGAATCATCTGAGAATTAGATGCAGCAAAGGCTTATCTACTAAAGAAGGAAGGATATAGTCCAAGTGGAAGAGAGTGGTATTGCTTAGTAGAACCAAGACTAGAAAGAGCAAAGAAGTCAATATAAAGGAAGATAACTATCAGAAAGTCTAAGTTAAGTCATCTCAAATAAAATACAGTTGGAATTTAGAAAAGACAATTGAAGAATGAGAAACCTGGCTGAGAGTCTATCCATGAGCATCAGATTCCTGGAGGGATTTTCTGATCAGAAACAGTGTTAAATACAAAAGAGCCCAAATATCCTGTGTTAACCCTCCCTTTCCTCTTCTCTCAAAATGGGTCTTCCTTTATTACCTTGCTTCTCTTGAGCTTCAAGTTCTGGAGATTCACACTGGATTTTCATAGCCTGGAGGGACACACTGGGTTCTTCTTCTGTTCCTGAAGCCTGAGGAAATGAGATAATAGATAAATGCAGAAAATAAAAGAGCATACTGTTCTTAGCAGTGGAACCTAGCTTGCTGAAAACTGAAATGAAATGACCTTTTTCCCAGATAGCAGTTTGCCATAATTATATCCATTCTTCAATGCCAATGTAAATATCACCTCCTCTTCATAACTGTCCTTTCCAGACTAGAGTAATTTCCCATATTACTAACTGCTAAAGATTGTACCACTTTTACTGCTTTTTTTGTGCTCAAAAAAAGAAAGGAGAAAAAGAAAAAACAAAGGAGAGAAGAAAGAGGCAGCAAAGAGGGAAAAAGACAGAACTTAGGAGAAAATAAAATAAAACATAAAGGAAAGGGGAATAATAAAGGGAGTAATGTGGAGAAATTATTTAAAAAGAAAGGCAGTACCAGGTAGAGTTGTAGGAGCCTGTATTCTCAAGTACTTGAGAGACTAAGGTTGGAGGATCACTTGGAGGCCAGCCTGGAGAACATAGCAAAACCCTCACCAAAAAGAGGAAAGAAGGGAAGGGGAAGGGGAAGGGAAAGGGAAAAAGGAAGAAAGAAAGAAAGAAAGAAAGAAAGAAAGAGAGAGAGAGAGAGAGAGAGAGAGAGAGAGAGAGAAAGAAGGAAAGAAAGAAAGAAAGAAAGAAAGAAAGAAAGAAAGAAAGAAAGAAAG